CGAATGATAGCCCGATGTCAAAGCTCTCATTGTTTCAAGGCCTTAGGCAGGGAGATCCATGACCTTTATTCTTATTTATTTTAGATATGGAGGGACCATATGTTTTGATTTAATATGACATTGCTAGTAACTCTATTTGTGGAGTTAGGGTGAGAAACCAAGTGTTTAGACTTTCTTATATTCTATATACAGATGATGTGATTTTTGTTTTAGAGTGAGGTTTACAAGAAGCTGATAGCATCTCCCGGGTTTTACATGAGTTCTTTCCTGTGTTTAGCTTGAAGTTAAATATACATAAATCAGATTTATATGGTGTGTGGTTCTTGGGTATAGTCCAAGATATTGCTTCTCGTTGTGGGTGTATTGTTGGTAAATTTCATTTCACTTATGTTTGGTTTCCTATTGGTTCTAACATGAGTAGGAAAGGAAGTAAGGAACCGATGGTTGAGAAGTTTAAGACTAGATTGGCAAGAGGGGATTCTTAATATCTTGGAGTCGTTGCACGATATTTTGTTTGGGGTGGTGATAAAGATGGTCGAAAGTTAGCATGGGTGAAGTGGGATTGTAGCTAGCTTTGAAAAGGGATGTATTGGTGTAGGTAGTATCTCGATCTTTAATGATGTGTTGTTATAAAATAGTGTTGATGGTTTGTTTTTGAAGGAGATGTTTGTTAGGTTCAACTTATTAAAGTCATTCACAATAATGATTGTGTGTTTTGTTCAGTCATAGGTGGTTCTAAAACTGACTTGTGTTCTAAAATAGCAAGAGTTATTCAAAAGATGGATGAATCTAATGTCGTTCCTTTGGCTACTTTGAATTTTTTAAAAATGTTTTTGTCAAGGAAATTCCATTAGATTTCTTTAGGAAGTGTGGCTTGGACCGCAGCCACTTCATATCATATTTGACATGCTCGTTCAAATTGATTTAGAGTCAGATTGTAATATTAGTGATAGATGGACCAACGATAATCGAAGATGACATTGGAGAAGGGAGGTGTGTGGAGGGGCATGAGTAGGAGCAATTATTTTTGCTTGAAATGAATTTGAAAGGTGTTATGGTAATTGACACTGCATATTGTTTTTGATGGTCATTATATCAGGTTAGTGACTTCTTAGTTATTGTCATGAAGAGAAATATTGATAATTAATGGTATCTCTTTTGTGGGGGGTGGCTCAATTACAAGGTGGTGTAAGATGGTGACAACGAGGGTTGATATATTTCTGTAGATGTGGGGCTCTAAATAGATTAGACACTAGGATTAATCATAGTAAAATAAGATGGATTTACAATCAATTATGTGCCCGATTTATGGATTGGTGTGAAGTCGGATCAACATCTCTTATTTCGTTGTCAAGTGGTGGTTACAATTTGGGGTTGGTGGCACGGTGGTATGGGGTGATGTTCCCTTTGTTTTCTTCGATTAAGGAATGATTCTTTTTGATTGATGATAGTCACCTCTCTAGTGTCGATCGGAAGTGATAGTGATGGCCTCATGTTGGATGCTATGGAGATTTTAGAATTTAGTTGTGTTTGATGGTGCTCCGTTTAAGAAATTTTATTATTATTATTATTTTTTATGATATAGTGTTAAAAAATATCGAATAAACAAACTCCAACTATATAGTTTAGAATGTTTGGCTTTTGAGCCCTTTGTAATCGATGGTTTTCTTATTATATTCTAGTAAAATGTGAATATATGGATGTAGATGTTTTGAAAAAACCATATTAATTTGAATTTAATCTATAAATTACATTTCATAATAATAACTACAAATCTTCTATTTCCAAGCCTCTAATATACGTCTTTTATTATTGTATTTAATTAAAATAACAATGTGATTTATATCAATTTCATATTATTATAAATATATTATCATATAGTTGATGACAATAAAAGCTTTATTATGATTATGTTTTGAAACTTTTTTTAAGTTCAACTTTTTCTTAATCCTACTCGTTTATTCAATCATGCACTCATAACTAGTCCAGTTAAATTTTCTCAGAGACTCGGGATGAACAAGAAAAAAGGACCCTTATCATTATTATAAGTTTTATTTATAAACAAAAATATATAATGAAAAAACATTAAGCCCTGTGCAGTTGCTCACTTTACCCCTCAACGCCCCCCGTGCATGCAAGACAAACATAACTCAGTTATATCTATTTTAATAGACTTACTAGATTATAACCCGCGTTAAACGAGGGGGAACACATAAAAAGTACAAATTATTGAAAGACATATTTGTAGATAACTTTTTATGTTAAAAAGAATTTGATGCATTAATGAGTTAAAATGAATTTATTCAATTCTTCAATACATATATTAAACAAAATAATATCATAAAACAAAATAAGAGACGGGTTGACGATTAAAAAATTAACGCTACCTTTGATATCTTTTCCATCAGCCACTTATTATCACGGTGTAACGCCCGTAGATCCGGGCTAGTCAATTAGAGACGTTAAGCGTCAAAAATGACTTTTTGATGGAAGATTATTTTGAAGGAATAATCTTAACTAGGTTATAGTATATGTTACAAGGATTCCATACATATAAAGAATGCCAATTTTTGATGGAAGATTATTTTGAAGGAATAATCTTAACTAGGTTATAGTATATGTTACAAGGATTCCATACATATAAAGAATGCCAAAATCCGAGTTATAACGAAGAAGTTATGACATGTTGAAGTTTCGCGACAGAACCGGCACGATGCTGACTGACGTAAAAAGTGAATTTACGTTAGAGTGATATTTAGCCTTAGCGATCTAAACGAAAGTCGTAGAGTTCGTTAAACCATGAGCGTGCATAAAAAGAACGCCCAAATCTGACTTCGTATGAGGAAGTTATGATTTTTCTAAGTTTCGACTTAGCGGTATGCAGCCCGAATACTCGATTTGAGATCGAGCGGTTTTTAGCCGAAACAATCTAAATGAGAACCGAAGATCTCATTAATTGTAGTAAAACGATAAAAAGATAGGTGAAAACGGACGTCGGATGAAGAAGTTATGAATTTATAACGGAATTTTCCTGTCCCGACTTACTAAAAATAAATTATAAAAATAAAGTCAAAATTAGCCAACGGAGTCTAAACGAAAGTTGTAGAGCGTAGTCTCACCTACGCGGGGATATAAACCATGTCGAAAACGAAGTTCGTATGAGGAAGATATGAATTTTTGAAGTTTATTAAATATTTTCGATATTTAATTTATATATATATATATATATATATATATATATATATATATATATATATATATATATATATATTCCGATATTATCCGAAGTGGGGGAGTCAGCGATCTTATCGCCATTACGCCCAGCGTAATTCGTGTTTCAGCCCCCTATAAAAGGGTGTCGAGGGCAACCGACTTCTTTGCTCATTTCTTCCAATTTTCTCGCGTTTTTGCATCGTTTTTCGTGCAAGAAATATCCCGAAGCCCCGATATCATTCCCGAGCCCCGAAGCAAGTCCCGAGGCCCCGAAGATCCCGAGAAGTGCGATTCCCGAGCTGAAGCTCTGCCCGCGAGAAGCCCGGTTTTTGTGAAGATCTTCCAGATCTACCGAAGAATACTACTTCTACAAGTCGTAGTGCTGTCCGATCATCTTCTAATCAAGTGAGTGTGTGGTTACTTTCTTCTAACACATAATTATGAAGTATTTTATACGAAATACGTGCTATGTGTATAATTTTGTTGTTATGTGTGTGAATGTATATTCACTTTCTTCTATCTGATAGATCTGATTTATTCTCTATGAAATACGTGTTATGTGGGTGTGCCTCATCTGTTATGTGGAATAGGTATTGAATGAGAATGTTGTACAGGTTTTAAACTATGTATAAAAATGTATATTTTTATCTACTAATATGTTGGGTAGAACATGGGTAGATAGTTGATGTGTGATAAACAGATGAGAAGCCCCGATGTTGTTGTTGTTGTTGATCTAGTTATTCAGCAGAGTATGGATTAGGTAAATAGATAAAACTTGTTATTAGTCTGGGAGTATGGATTAAGACTGAGTTAATTGTCCCTAGTCCGGGAGTATGGATTGGGCACAGTTATTGATCCGGGAGTATGGATCAGATCAGGATTAAGGTATAGTTAATTGTCTCTATTCCGGGAGTATGGATTGGGTACAATTATTGATCTGGGAGTATGGATCAGATCAGGATGTTAGTTTTAGATCCGTGAGTATGGATCACGGGAAAAGGTTAGTTTTAGATCCGTGAGTATGGATCAGGTGAAAATGTTAGTTTTAGATCCGTGAGTATGGATCGGGTGAAGATAATAGTTTTAGATCCGTGAGTATGGATCGGGTAATGAGGAAAATTTTAGATACGAGAGTTTAGATCGTGTCGTTGTGAGGATCGATGGGGGTTGGGTAAGAGTTGCCTTTATATGGTGAAATTGTACAGGTTTGAATGTTCTATATTTATAAATATATGATATAACATTGTGGGATGAAAACCCTATATGCTCACTAGGCTCCCAAGCCTGACCCACTTAGTTTTCTTTGTATCACAGATATTAATACGAAGACATAATTCACAGAGAGATTTAAAGGAGATATAAATCAATTGTGTAATTAAATATAAGTTCTGTTTATGTTTATATGTCTGTATCGGAATATGACATCCTGAGGTTTTATTGTTAAATGAAAATACATTCTCTTCGAGAAATGTTTTGATAAGTTATTATCATATCTTGTTTTGGGAACAAATTCCGCAACTGTTTTCTTTAAAAGAGTACTCTGATTTTAAAAACAAGCATAAACAAATCGTTCTTTTTTGGCCGAGAAATTGGGGATGTCACACACGGTGAATAACATCTTTAACAGGATGGTCAAACAATACAAAATAAGCAGACCCAATATCATATAGAACACAAATTACGAGCCTAGCCCTAAAAATTATAAAATTATACTTTAATCGAAAATAAAATAAAATTGGAAACACTTGAATATAGATTAATGACACAAGAACTTTACAAATGTAAAATTATATAGAAACTCCACCACAACCATCACAAGTAAATGGTTCGACATTAATATCATCATCATTCGTACTTACTTTATTTGAACAATCACGACAATAAAAAGAATACCAACATTCGTCTAAATCAAAACCGATGACAGTAGCAATGATGGATAAACTAATTTCCTATTTCATAATTTTTTTAAAATTTATGCGTCATTAATATATAAAGCTAATGGAAAAATATTAATATTGTTAAGTATACCTTATTGTAATTTAGAATATCATCAATGTTCTTGATTGGAAAACGGAGGTAGTAATCCTCTTTCTTGGCAACAACAGTATAGGTGTTAAGTTGTGTAGTACTAATGGAAGACTCAACATTCAAACCCATATCAGCAATACTACATATAAGAAGAAAAAAAATGAAGAACTTAAACAATATAAATAATTAATGATTAAGAATAAAGAAAAAAAACATTGAGCTATTAAATAATGGTAAAAGATATACACTTTTTTGAATTCTAAAAGGTGAGACATGTCATCATTAATATGCAATATCGACCCAAACAAACAATTACCCACTTGAGGCTGACCTAGAAATAACAATTAAAGTTATAAATTAATTCATCTTATAAATAAAATATTAATGTAATGACATGAACATTTATAATAAAAAATATTCTTACCACCCAAAGTTTTTAGCTTTGCCATACGTAGGAGGATGATAACACCTGCATTATCATTTTGATGTAAACAAATCATTTTACAGCAAGTATGTATAATAAGGCAATATCAAAAGTAGATTGCCTTTTTTTTTTACCTTTGGACAAAAAAGCATATGTTGACTGAGAAACATAGAGACAAACATATATTACAGAAATATATGAATCATTCCCAAAAAAGAAGGTTTTAATGGAAGTGTAAATAATTCATTTTGAGTAAATAATATATGTAGACACTAAACCTTTCCTGAAGGTATTCCACTTTTACTTTTTTTTTTTATTTCTATTTTCATCCGATCTAAACACAAAATCAAATCCAAACACAGAACTAATTAAACTGAATTTTACATCATCAAATACAACACAAAATCTAATATGTAACGCCCGTAGATCCAGGCTAGTCAATTTAGAGATAATAAGGGTCGAAACAACTTTTTGACAAAAGATTATTTAGAATAAATAATCTTAAAAAAGTTGTAGAATATGTCTCAAGGGTTCCGTACATATAAAGAACGCCGGAATTCGAGTTATAACGAAGAAGTTATGGCCCGTCGAAGTTTTACGGCAAAACCGGCACGGTACCGGGAGACGTAAAAAAATGAATTTATGATAGAGATTCTTTTAGCCTAAGTAATCTAAATGAAAGCCGTAGAATATGTTAACCTGAGAGCATCCATAAAAAGAACGCCCAAAGTTCGAGTATGAGATTGAATTTATGAGGAAGTTATGATTTTTCGAAGTTTCGGCTTAGCGGTGGACAACCCGAAGTTCGAGTATGAGATTGAATGGTTTTTAGCCGACACAACCTAAAAAAGAATCGAAGATCTCATTATTAGTAGCGTAACGATAAAAAGACAGACGAAAATGGACATCGGATGAAGAAGTTATGAGATTTTAACAGACCACTCCTGTCCCGGCCTGTTAAAAATATAAACTCAAAATTAGTCGAAAGAGTCTAAACGAAAGTTGTAGAGTACGTCTCCACCTACGCGTGGATATAAAGAACGTCAAAAATAGAGTTCGTATGAACGAGTTACAAATTATAATAGCATAATTACGTATTAAAATAAAGTATAAATCATATATACATACACCTATATATACATATGTATATATCATTAGAAAGGTATCGACGATGCGGTCATTATAAGACTAATGATGAGTTCTTTCGACATTGGTTTAGTACAAATATCATTAAATCCATTTAAAATAGTGTTATAGAGGGGTGTTTAGTTGTTTATATAACTAAAAGGTCATTAAGTAATTATGGAGGGTAGTTTTTGAAAATTCAATTAGTATAAATAAGAGCATTGGGCTCTCATATTTCTTGCACTATTCTCTTGATTCAAGAGTCTTTCTCTCTTTATCCCCCGAACATTTCGGTCCCTCGTGATTCGACTTCTCTTTCTGTAGTTTTTAGTATAGTAAGGTGAGCGCTGAAGCGCTGCACGAATCTTTTTTAGAAAGATTCAGGGACGAAGTTCTGCTCCTGTAGAGCCTGACTCCTATCTAACATCTCATTGTAAGTAAATTATGTTTACCCTATTTTAAATATAGGTTATATTTAAAATTAGTATTGTTATTATAAATTTATAATAAATATTTGAGTTATTATTATGACTTATATAAGTGTCGTTATAATATCTTTTTAACTACTCGCGGTACGGGAAATCTGGTTTAAAGAGCCGCATAGAGTTGTTGGATTTCAGAAGTGCTATACGCTAAAATGGTCCTACCCTTCGGTGTTTTATGTCTGGCCCCTGTCTGTACATAGTGGTTGTAAAATATTGTTTAAACGCTTATATAATAATAATAATAATAATAATAATAATAAGACTAATAATTAGTCACGGTAAATATTAGACTAAAATCTAGTGGTAATAATACTAAGTTTCGTCGAAGGAAATTATTTTAAAGTAAACGAAGCGTTGTCCGAGTACCGAGTCACCACCTTCTCAGGTGAGTGCATAGTTACTTTCATCTTACACATAGATATGAAGTATTTAATATAAATTACGTGTTGTGAGTGCATAGTTAGTTTTATCTTACACATAGATATGAAGTATTTTATATAAATTACGTGCTATGTGTGCATAGTATCTGAATACTTGTTGTCTATGCTGGATGAACATTTTTTTATACATGTTTTAGATGATTTGAACTGTATACGTATTTTAAATATACAAGTATGTTGGGTATGAGATGGGTAGATGAATGATGAGAGATAAAAGATGATGTGAGTAAACATTGGCAACTATAGACTTAGTGACTAACAAACAACATCGACAACTATGGACTTAGTGCGTATTGGATAAACACTGGTAGCTATGGACTTAGTACCTGTTAGGAATTGGTAGCTATGGACTTAATACCTATTAGATAAACACTGGTAGCTATGGATTTAGTACCCATCAACTATGGAATTAGTGTTTTACAAACGAGCATTGACAGTTATGGATTTAGTGTCAGTCCTATAACTCTGGAAGCAAAAGACTTCAGAATGAATGAATGCGGGATATATGACTCTTAGGATAGATCCTTAAGAGTAAAGAAGATAATGGAGATGAGTAATTGGGTCGATTGTTTGATTGTTTAAACATAATAATTATATTATTGTGGGTTGAAAACCGTATGTACTCACCAGGTTTCCCAACCTGACCAACCCAGTTTATTTATATTACAGGTGTTGAGATGAAGTCACATTACACTGAGAGATTAAAGAGATGTAGATCACTAGTGTAAATAAATGTAAGTTCTATTTATGCTTATGTTTCTGTATTGACGATGACATCCCAAATGTTTTAAAACGAATTAAAAATACTTTTCTTGGGAAATGCTTTGATAACATATTTATCATGTTTTACTGGGAACAAATTTCGCAACATTTTTATTAAAAGAGGTACTCTGATTTTTATAAAGCATAAACAAAATCGGTCTTTCTAGGCCGTGAAAATGGGGATGTCACATAATCCAAACACACACACACACACACACACACACACACCGAAACACAAACAAACACACATAACAAGGGTAAATAGGTCATTTTACAACAAGTATGTATAATACGGCAATATCAAAAATTACATTTTCCTTTTTTTTACCTTTGGATAAAAATGCATATGATGATTGTGAAATACAGACACACACACATATATATTAAAGAATATACTAATCATTCCAATTAAAAGTAGTTTTTACAACAAGATTAAATAATTCATTTTGAAGAAATAACATATGTAGACACTAAACCCTTCGGTAAGGTACTCCATTTTTACTTTTCTTTATTTAGTTTTTCATCCGATCCAAACACATAACCTAATCCAATTAACACATAACTAATTAAACCGAATTTTACTTCATCCAATCCAAACATAGAATCTAATCCAAATACACACACACACGTAAACACACACACAAATATATATATATATATATATATATATATATATATATATATATATATATATATATAGAGAGAGAGAGAGAGAGAGAGAGAATAAAAAATCCATTTATCAAAAATCCACTAATAAAATATTGATTCATATACTGAACACATAAATTATAATTAGATGTAAGAAATTAATTAGTAAATAAAAAAAAAAATTGCTAACCTTATGAAGCTGGTATTGGAACGTGATGGTGCAAAGTTCAGATTTCAAGAAATTACGATAACAACTTAATGAGATTATATTTATACATAATTTTGATCAATGATTTTGGAAATGATATGAAGAATTAATACTGTAATTCATATAATACTATTTTAAATTCTTTGATTTCAAATTCTATAATTATGAAATGTATATACAAATTATTTGATTCTATAAAAAGGAAGGAACAATATTTATGTTTTGACAATTATGATGATATTTATTTTACTTCAATAGATTCCAATTAAGAATTTCAGTTATCATTAATAAATTTTCAACTTTCCAAACGTAGTTAAATTAATTTAATTTAATTTTATGATGATATCATTAAAATGATCTAATGATTGAAATTAATCAAAAATATATAATGAATAACCCTTATTATTAAATATGATGTCATGTTTCAACCAAGGATAAGTGACCAACTAATGATAATATTTCATTTCACTTCTATCTTTTATTTTCCTTGCCAATTGTCTCTAATTATTATAAGGACTTCAAAATAAATGAAAATTAATACCAACAAACTTGACAAGGACAATATATCTCACTAGCTGTCACAAAAAGAAATGAATAAATGTATCGAACATATGCATTATAAAGTAATATTTGGCGTTGACAGCATATACATAGATTATAGATACACAAATGATTAAATATAGGCCAAGGTATTAGACAACATGTAATAATCGAATGTATGACAACTACCACTCGGGATCAAAATATCATTGATGACGTACCACGATCTTCCATAATTGTTATATACTACAAGCCATGCATATCTTGTACAATTCTAGCTTACATTACATAACCTTACCAAAAAAAAAGCAAACATAAAAAACTACATAAATAAATAAAACAGTAGATATTGTCACACTCACACATGCATTAATTAAAGATTTGTACGTACCGAAGGATATACGAAACATGTGATCATTTTGATCGTATATTTCACATTTGATGTACCCAAATATGCATTTATTATGCCATGTTACTTGAGGTTTCTTCTCCATTACAAGAAGCAATTCAAGGTGGGCCATTGGCTTTCATTCAACCAGTTCTTTTATTACTACTTATCATCTGTTTTAACTTTATGTCATTTTGCATCAAATTAAGCACACTGAAAGTCAAAAGCATGTAACATTTTGTACCTTATGTGGGTCACTTAATAAAACACTTCACAATTCACACTCATGAACTTATAGAATAGCATGATCAATAATTGCAATATAGTTATTAAAAGCCACAACTTAATTTTTTGTTACAACTTTAGGTCATGCCAAAGCACATTAGGACACACAAGATTAAATGAAAATATCTAGAAATAACGGTAGGTGAACTAGGTCATGGAATCCAAAGCCATGATGGTGCTTAGGTTCATCGGATA